CCTCTCACTTCCTTGGCCAGAGCGCATCATGCTGAACAGCTTGCCCAGCCCCCCGCTGCTGTAGGGAGATGTCAGCTCTGATCTCGCCCCTTCCCATCACCGTTCTTCATGAACAGAGACTTACGTTAACCTTTTGTGCCAGTCACTTATATGAAAATACTTTTATTCTAGCAGTGAAGAAAACAAGGTTTTTCAGAAATTGAAAATGTAGTTTGTATGTCATTTCCATCACCCTTCGAGCTAGATGTCTGTTTTTGTGGCATTGACATTTCATTGAAAATAGTCGAGTCACCATGGGATTGTTGTACCAATGAGATTTTTGTATAATTTCCACAGAAGTGGTTAGTTTTATGAAGTTTCCCCTTTAGTTTCAATACTCCAACAGTTGTATGTCGTACTTAAATAGAATAAGGTTCTAAAGAATATAATCTACTACACAGAAATAAAAAGAAAGAGCCTTGTTATCATAATTTATTCTGCTTCTTGCTGTAAGGAAAGATGTGCATTACATTAGAAATTGAAACCTTTCACACTTCTGCCTTTAATATTTTAAGGCATAAAAAAACATCATGTTTTTCTATTTGTGTGCAGATGCAACTGTTACTGAGAGGTTTTATATTAGTAGAATGTTCATACCTTACATCAATACATAGCAGAGCTAGTTAAGCAAAGAATTTGGATAGTCAGTTCTTTATGAGTAAAATGAAAATCCTTGTATTCAAAACTCAACAGCCTCTGAAGGTGCTCTTGTTTTAATTTGGATTTCTATACCCTGGATTTCTTAAAGTGATACTATTCAGCTTAGTTCATTTATCCTTAAGTTTATCCATAGGTCTATCCTTAAAAGTAAGTGAACATTTTATGTATATGTAGATTTTCTAGGGAAAAAAGTCCTGGTTTTCATCAGCTTCAGAAAGGTGATCTTTGACCCTGTCCAAAAAAGTTAGGCTGCAGAGTCGCCCGTTGAGGGAACACCACGGCAACACGGACGCCCTCGGCTGCCCCCAGCACCCTCGTGGCCTGTGCTGTGCAGCTGCGCAGAGCCAGTGGGCCAGGTAGTTACATTCTGCGTGTAGGCAACAGTCACGCCGTTCTGAGGAACTGGATGATTTTCATCTGGGGTAACAGATGTACTGGGTCGAACAGAATTTCGCCCAAATTCATGTCTGCCTGTAGCCTATGACTGTGATCTTGTTTGGAAATGGGGTCTTTATAGATGGAATCAAGCTGAGGTGAAGTCATAGGGGATGGGGGTCAAACCCTAATCCAGTGGCTGGTTTGACACAGATACCCAGGGAAAACGCCCTGAGACGATGGAGACAAAAGCCAAGGAATGCCGAGGACTGTCGCCTCCGGGAGCTCAGAAGAGGGAGAGGCAGGGAGAGGCTCCCCCAGAGCCGTCGGGGAGCACGGCCCCAATGCACCCCACTTCGGACTTGCCTCCCACACTGGGAATAACCTCTGCTGTTTTAAACCACCCACCACCCAACTTTGTGGCACTTTGAAACTTACACCTGCTAATAACATAAACCTCCCCCAAAAAAGAATAAACAAATCAGGAGGGTCTTTTTTCCTTAAATAAAAGGAGCCCACGGGTAGGCAGTCTGAGCAGTGATGTGGCCAGTGCCCAGCTCCTTCTGGCTCTCGGCCCACAGTCCCTGTGCTGTGATCCTTACCTGCAAGCTTGCAAGACAACTCGTGGACCTCCTGCCAGCATTTCAGGCAGCAAAGTGGGGAGATAAAGGCACAAACTGAGGCAGTCCCCCACGAGGAGCTCTCTAGAAGTCCCACCCAGAGACTTCTCATGTACTGCATTGGCCGGAGCTGTGTCACATGACCAGCCAAGGGCATGTGCACCAGTGCTGCCCTGTGGCCTGGGATGTGGCCGACAGGGTAGGACTGGGCTAGCTGCCCACCAGCTCTGCCACTTCTTCAGACCTCAAGGCAGCACAGTGGCGAGGCCCCAGGCTCGTTGGCTGCTCGTGGTCTCGTCGGGAGAGTGCGTGGCGGGGGTGGCCCATAGGACCCAGAGCAGTATTCCCACTTAGGCCCACAATGAAAGACAAAAGGGCACCCTGTTCTGTCTTCCCGGTGCAGCCATATCTTCTTCCTTCCCCACCACTGCCCTTTTCAACCTGTCCCTGCAGGCAACGCCCTGTGGTAGAGGGGTCTGTGGAAGGCTCACAGCGACAGGGCATCTGATGTTGAGAGGATGGCTAGGCTGCCTCAGTGCATGGCATTTTCAGGCAGTGTGGCCAGGTAAGGTCTCAAGTAGTCACGGATTCTTCTGTAGTGGAATAGTGGATCTCTGTACCTAAACTCAGGTGTGCAGAAACTGCATTCTCAGTGGCAGTCCTTAAAGTTGCCAATTAAAGGCAACCCGGTCTCTTAGGTTAACTGCCTCATCTCAGCAAATGCCTGTAGTTAGTTTCTTCACTCTCTCTCTTCTCCCTGCCAGGACGGCGTCACAACTCCCAGATGGTTTGCATGTTTCTCTGGTGTTCAGAGAAAAGCCTCTGAGTCCTTGCTGGCCTCAGCAGAGAGCGCTGGTCCTGCATATGTGTGGGCCTCTGGGGCCACCACCTGCCCTGTCGTCCAGTAGCCAGGACCCTAAAGGCTGTGGTCCTTGTTGCTGCTGACCGTGAGCCCCAGCATTACACTGGGGGCAGGAGACAGGCCATCTGGACAGACCCTTTTGCTTCAGGGTATGTCTCAAAGGGGCAGGTAGGTGAAGATCCAGTAATGACAGCAGGAGATACCACTTTGGTTTCTGCAGGTTCCCTTCTCCTGGACGCCAGTTTGCTGGTATGTCTTTCAGGGGCCTGCGCTTCATTTGTTCCTTAGACCCTCCGAGCCCTCCACGCAGCTGCCATGTGACCTGGCACTTCTGCCTCCATTGGCCTCCTCTCAGGCCTGGGAGCTGCCCTCCCACCCCCGCCTGGGCCCCTGCTTGCACGGTAGGAGCTGGGAAATCAGCCCCACCTTGCAGTGAGCAGGTCAAAACCCACTGCCTCCCAAACTAGCAGCTGCTGTATGCCCTGCGGCCCCAGGCAGCCCACAAGCCCTCAGCCCCGCAGCCTTAGAAGCCATAGCAGGCAGACAAAAGCAACCTTTGTCAGTCCTTCAGAAGACCTAAAGAGCTGGTTCTTGTCAATTTTCCCTGGTTGGTGGTTGGTTACTGTCTGTTGAGTGGATTTTGCATTATTTTTTATTGAGAGAACAAATTGTTATGGCTTTTAAAGGAACCGAAAACATGCACTCTCTAATTATATCTATTATTCCATTTCCATTCATCTTGCTTTCTTGTTTTGGGACGGGTCTTTCTATTAGCCAGGAACTAGTCAATTTTTCTGAATAAATAAAAGCTGCTGTCTTGGGCTGCAGTCTGCAAGGGGACTTGTCAGCATGGTTTATAGATTTATTCTTACTGATGACTCTAGTAAGCTGTCGGGCTGGTCTCCTGTTAATGGTGTCAGTCTTTGCCTTGCCCCTTACTGGACATATGGATATACTTTTTGGAAATAATTTAGAATAACACTGTTTTGAAATGCAAGTTCCAAGAGTATTATTCCATGTTTGTTCATTCAGTCAGTCAGTGAGTCAGTCAGTATTTATTGTGTCCCTGAAATGCACCAGGCATCATTCTCAGCACTGGGAGGATAGCCCTGAACAAGACCTTCTTGGAGTTTGTATCCTGTTGGGGGAGATGAACAACAAATAAACCAGCAGATGCATGTGACAGTGTCAAATGGAGGTGATACAGGAGAAGAGCTGGCGTGCTAGAGACTAGAGGGCGACTTGGGCTGCCGGTGCAGGCGGGAAGGGAGAAAGGCTGCTCTGGGAGGCAGCACTGGAGCGGACGACTGGACCCTGAGGGGAGGTGGGCTCATGGATCTGGGGACGCAGCCTGAAGCCAAGGGACGAGGTGCCAGCTGTGCTCCTCCCACCAGCAGGCCACGGCACACCCGGGGTGAGATACAGCTAGGCACGCGGCTGAGTCCCAAGTAGACTGGGACTTTTTTCAGTGAATGACTGTATATGTAAGGCCTTACCAATAGGACATTTTTTAAGGCTACAGAAAATAAAGCAGTTGTTAATGGGGGGGGTGAGCCTCCTTATTGTAGTGACTCTTGGATTGATGTGCATAGGGGGACCTGTCTTCCATGTGTTTTAAGTGCCCCCCCACATGCCTTCTTCTCCATAGTACCAGGGGAGTGGGCTTTCCCTCCCCCTGAGAGCCCTGCCTCAGTAAGCTGTAGTCACCACAAGGGCCACGGTCCCCAGGTGCCTTGGGGACAGCTGGGGACCATGGCCAGCTCAGAGCACTGCTGAGCCTGGTGGTCACACTGATGTGGTAGATGCCTCAGGTCCGGTGTGAATGAAAGACTCCTCATGTGGAGGCCCAGCCTTCTAGAGGCCATAGAGAAATGGCTCCTGTGAAGCCCTAGATAAGTCATGCTGACTCCACAGGCACTGCTGTCATGTGATGGCAACTAAGCGCCATGAGCTTGGCTTTTGAGTTTGACCCTGTGTTGAATTGACAGCATGCTTTACTGTGTAAATTCTTGAAGATGATGTCTTTATTAATTCCAGTCACTCTGAGGAGTTGCTCTTTATAGAGAAAGGTGAGTTAACATCACGGAACCATGAGGCAGTGTAGGAAGCCCGTGCGAAAGCGTCTCTCCTGCTGTAGGGTGATGCTCCCAGCTCTGCACACTGAAGGTCCACAGGAGGCGCCCTGGTGTGTGGATGGGAAGACACAGCTGTCATCGCAGGAAGGCCTTCGCGGGGGTGGTGGGAAGGCTGTGTACCCCCATGCCCAGTGCCGCCCTGCCCTGCCCGGCCCCTGCCCCAGCTGCAGTTTGGCAGAGCATCCTCAGTGGGAACAGTTGCTATGAAATTGGGCAGGAAAATTCCCAAGCTTGTCTGAAGTCATGGTGTAGCCAAAGATAAGTTATACTCAGAGCACTAGTTATGAAATGTCATTCTTCTATTTTCAGTAAATATTCAAGATGTGATATTACAAGAAAGTTTGGAAAAAGAAGATCAAATTCTGGTTTCCTTGGCAGGACTAAAGCAGGTATGTCCTTTGATCTGACTTTGAGTGCCTGTTGGAATGGGTGCCCTGGGCATGAGTACCATGGTCCTTCGGAGCCAGTGCCCCCCAGCCCCCATTCCCACCCAGACACAGCCCCTCCTGCGTAGAACTCCTTCTGCCCCTTGCTCCTTCCAGTACTTTTGTGTGGCTAGCCTTCAGCCCAAACTGGTTTTCCATGCCCCGCCCCATGCTCAGCCATTGGTCCATGGATGCACAGATGTCCTTGGAGCACAGGCCGTCACCACCACCTACAGCAGCCTCAGATCCTCAAGGGCCATGTTCACACAGCCCTTGAAGGACTAGATGAAATGCAATGCCAGGGGAAAGAGGGCGCTGCACTCAGATGTCTGCCTGTTGTTCACCGCTCAGCCGGGTGGAGCCACTTTGCTGGCCCACAGGCTGCCTGGGGGTCTGGGTGTGCAGAGAAGTGCTCGAAGCTGCGTTAGGATGACTGCCCAGGATGCAACACCCGTGTCTGACCCTGGGAGAACTTGGCCATTAAGACTGAAATATTTGACTTTGATAGAGTCGGATTTTTTCTATTTATTTCTTATGGTAATATATTCACACCCATACTATTAAAAAATGGTCAATGATAAGTCAAGTTTAAATGTATTAGAGGGTTAGCTGGCATGGAAAAACAGACTCATTCATCTTTTTCATTTATTTTCTTCTTCTTTGAAAATAGATCAAAGACATTCTCAAAGGTTCCCTGCGTTTCAATCAGAGCCAGCTGGAGGCCGGGGAGAACGAGCAGATCACCATCGCGGACGACCACTACTGCTCCAGCGGGCAGGGCCAAGGCCAGCGCCAGGGCCGCCTGATGCCCAGCGCCGCCGAGCAGGTACAGGAGCGCTGATTGACGAGGGCTCATTGACCTGATGGGGGAGCATGAGTTCTTCAAAGTTCTGAATAATAAAACCCTGCCAAGGGTACTTCAGGTTACCATGTGTGAAGTTCAACTCTGAAATGCCACAAGCATCCTGAGCCAGTATAGAGCTATGCAGGTTGTATGCTCTAGGGGGTGCCATTCACAATAGCAGTAACTGGACTCCTGTTTCTGGAGTTGTGCAGTGCACAGCTTGTACACCTATATGCGGCAGCTTTGGCCTGAACCTCCTGCCAGCCCACTGTGTGGCATTAGAAACCAGTGGTCTTTCTGCCTCACATACTGGTCTGTCACGTCCAGCCGATGCCGCCATTCCCCTTTAGTGCAGGACGGACTGCCCATGCCTTCCAAATGCTTCCTTGCTTCTGTCTCACTTGGCCAGAACCTTTCTAGCCTTCCTAGGGAAGGACTTGTCATGAGTTTCCATCCTTTAAGGCAGAAAGGTCAGCAAACCTTTGCTCTGAAGGGCCAAACAGTAAATATCTTTCGCTTTGCAGGCCACATATGGTCTGTGACACATACTTGTTTCTGTAGTTGTTGTGTGTGTTTGTACAACCCTTCAAAACTGTGCAAGCCATTCTCAGCTTTAGAGCCATACCGGAACAGGCCCCAGGCCAGACCTGCCTATGGGCCATAGTTGCTGAGCCCTGTTCTTAGGTGTCAGCATTCCGTATGACTAGCATAGAACCACAGAATCTTCCAGGTCAAAGGCACCCGAGTTCCTCCTGTGCTCAGCCCTGCCTGCTCATCTCTCTTGGGAGTGAGAAGCCACACAGCCTCGCCAGGGTTGTGTGTTCAGAGCCTTGTCCCCGTCCAGTGAGCTCCCAGCCCCACCGTGCTGCCTCGTCCTGAACAGGCCTAGAAGTTCCTAGTAGTGTTCTTTTTAAATGGCTTACAGAGTTTCATCTTGAAAAGTAACATTAGCAAAATCTCACCTAAGACACTTTCTCAAGCACTAGCATCCAGATACTTGTAAATTATTTATTTTTTATAGTTTTAAACAAGCAAAATGACATTTTAAAAAAATGGGAGTTTTTTCAGTTTCAAGGGTATCTTTAAGAAGAGATAGCCCTGTGTGAGTGATTTCATCCAGGTTCAAAAGAAGGTTTTCATAGAGCATTTTGAGTCTGCATTTTTAGCCACATGAATATGTTAAGATTGCAAGTTTAATTTTATAAGGTCCAAATTCTCCCCTGCACAGGTATTTAATTTTTTAATAATCATGTATTTATTCAAATATTATTGAGCTTAGGCCTACCCCCAACTATTTTTAATTGATAATTTTATTTAAAAATTTAGTGTATTTTTCAGCTGAATATGTAAAAATACAACAGGAGAAGACCTTTCCAAAACACTAATGAATTTCCTAAATTCAAAGCTTATTGATTACACTTTGTATTCCCAGTTTGCGTACTTGCCAAAACCTACCTGTTGCCATGGCTGCCCCCGGGAATGCCCATGCGCATACCCAGGACGAGCCAGCTACGAGCTCTAAGTGAGTGGCAGGTGACATATGACATGCCTTTGCTGGCAGGGCACACCCCCGTGTGGCATCTGAGAAACATTTTGCCTCCCTCTGCACATGCTTCTGGAATCCAGTCAGCCCTTGCCAGGCTTAAAGGCCTCACTGCTGCCTTCTCTGATCCTGGCTGCCTCTGTAGGCTTAGGTGGGAAAAAAAGAACACTGGGCAAAGGAAAAGGCAAGGGCTTCCCTCTGCTCATTCCCTGCCCCGCCCCCCACCTCCCCACCCCCCATGCAAGGGTGTTAGCACTTGAAAGAAAGCAGCGCTGCTGAACCTGGCTCTGAGGGAGGGCTGGTTAGGGCACAGCTGCCCTCCACCTTCTGGGAAGGAAAGGCCAGAGAAACCCGCATGCAAGCGGGCAGGGTGCACCGACAAGCGGGTCCGGGCAGCCCACAGAAGAGCCCAGGGATTGAGATCAGCTGATGCCGGGCCCCCCGGCAGGAAGCCCTGAGCCCTGCTCCCTCTGGGGCTCTCCTAACTCACAGGGCTTGTGGGACCGGACAGGGGGCCGGCCATGGACAGGAGCAGCCGTGGCTGGTGTGCCCAGTGGGAGCTCAGAAGGCTCTTCCCTCCTTTCCCCCAAATGTGAGTTGAGGGCCTGCTGTGCCAGCTACTAGGTGCTCAGGGTTAGGGGGTGTAGGCCCTGCCCTCCAGAGGCTGGGGTCTGGTGCCAGCAGGCTTTTGTGACACTTGCTGGCAATGTCATCGCCATGTGCTGGGTCTGCAGTGGCTTGTGCCATGGACCTTCCCTAACTCAGAATGCAGTTAAGGGTCTGCATTCTTGGTTAACCACTGAAACATGTCATGGGGCAGTGCGGAGGACCAGGCCTGGCACCTTGGGGCCCACGGCTCACAGTCCCGCAAGCACCCTTCTCCCTGAGGAACCTCACCAAGGCACTTCCATTGGGGGAACACGTGCCTGATACCCGCCAGGCAGTGGGGCACATGTGGCTCGTAGCATTCTTTCCCTTAATTTGCAAATCTTAACCTCCAGCTCTGCAAACAGCAGATACGAAATTGTGTGTTGTATGGTGAAGAGCCACAGTTCTGTCTCTCCCTCCCAGACTCTGGCCTTCACACACTCCTGTGGAGGTTTTTGAAGAACTTCACTCGAACCCACCACACAGGAAGCAGGACTTTGTAGGGCCACAGATTCAGCCATCAACCAGCCCGTATCACGTGGCTCACTGGCAGTGGGGCTGCATCCCTTTCTCTGTATGGCCTGTAGCTGTATTGTCTGATGCAATAAACGCTAGCCACAAGTCTATTTAAAATCAAGTTCATTAAGATCAAATTGAATAAAAAGTTTAAACTTCAGTTCGTCATTCATACGAGCTGCCTTTCAGGTGCCCAGTACCCACTCGTGGCTGGAGGCTGCTGTTGGGCAGCACGGACAGTCCGTTTCCGTCATCACAGACAGTGCCTGTCAAACTGGTCTGTGCCTGGGCTCACCTGCCTCCACCGTAAGAAACGTGGACGGTCAGGGGTGTATATTGTGGTGGTCCTGCCAGTTTTATGCAGGACTGACAAATCAAAAACCTTTTCTTAATTTTGCAGTGCATGCCTGTGTTTGGCAAAAAGGGAAGATTGATGTGGGAATATACAGTTTCTGCAAATGACATAAATGATTTAAATGGTGACAAGTGTAGTAGCTAAGGCTGCTGTGGGAATGCAGGAAGAAGGGTCTTTGTGTCTAGGGAAGTTCTAGGTGGGAGTCCAGAGAAACTGGGCCTTTTAATTTGCTTTGTGGCATTGGCCAGGCCACCAGGCCTCAGTTTGGGCTTCATTTCTTGATCCGTATTAGAAAGATGGGGGAGGAGTGATAAAAGGAGGTGGCCATGGAGGCCCGCCCGCAGTAGTGTGCTTTGTCTAAGCCAGTCCAGGAGGCTCTGTGGGACAAACCCACAACTTACAACTTGACCTCACTACCTTCCAGAAATATGCCAGATAATCAGAGTGCTGGTAAGAACCACCTTTACTGCTAGCCACAGGCTTGCTAACATACTTCTCTTCTTCCAAGTCTGGCTGATGTAGTCGCTGCAGGAAGACCTCGGAGATACTGCAGGCTTGGTCCCAGACCACCGCAGTAGAGTCAATAGCACAGTAAAGCAAGTCAGATGGATGTTCTGCTTCCCAGGGCATATACAAAAGTTACATTTCCACTGCACTGTAGCCTATCAACTGTGTAGTAGTAGCATTATGACTAAAAACTCCCAATGTGCATACCTTCATTAAAAATACGTCATTTCTAAAATATGATGACCATCATCTGGGCTTTCAGCGAGTAGGAATCCTTTTGCTCATGGAGGGTTTTGCTGCTTATGGATCAAGGTGATAGTTGTTAAAGTCTGGGCGGCTGTGGGCAGTTTCTTAAGACAACAATGAAATTCGCTACATCGAGTGACTCCTCCTTTCCTGAATGATTTCCTGAGTGATGCTGTTTGATAGCAATTCACCCACCACAGAACTTGTCTTAAAATTGGAGTCAGTCCTCTCAAACCCTGTTTCTCTTTGACCAACTAAATTTATGTAATATTCAAAACCTTAGTGTCATTTTAACAATCTTCATAACATTTTTGCCAGTAGATTCTATCTCAGGAAGCCACTTTCTTTGCTTATCTCTGAGAAGCAACTTCTCATCCACTGGCATTTTATCATGAGATGCAGCAATTCAGCCCCATGTTCAGGCTCCACTTCTAGTTCAAGTTCTCTTGCTGTTTCCACCACTTCTGCAGTTCCTCCCACCGCCAGCTGTAGCCCTATGAAATGTATTCCTTAAATAATAAGACTGTAAAGTTGAAATGACTCCATGATCCCTGGGCTGCAGTCTGGATGTTGTGTTAGCAGACCCCAAAACAGCGTTAATCTCTGTGCATCCCCATCGAGGATGCTCTGGGGTGCTCTGGGGTGACCAAGTGCACTGTCAGTGAGCAGTAAATCTTTTGAAAGGAATCTTTTTCTGAGCAGTAGGTCTCAACAGTGGGTTTTAAATATTCAGTAAACCATGTTGTGAAAAGATATGCTGTCACCCAGGCTTTGTTGTTCCACTTATAAAAACATAGGCAGAGGAGATTGAACATAATTCTTAAGGGCCCTAGGATTTTTGCAATTGTAAATGAACATTGACTTCAACTTAGCATCACCAACTGCATTAGCCCCTCGAAGCTCTGAAGCCAGGCATTGACTTATTCTCTGTAGCTGCAAAAGTCCTAGATGGCACCTTCTTCCAATATAAAGTTGTTTGATCTACACTGAAAATTTGTTGTTGAGGGTAGCCTCCTTCATTAACTCTCTTAGCTAGTTATTACTTCATTAACTAGATCTTCTTAGTTATGTAGATCTAAATAACTTACCTACTTATCTAGTTTACTGGGTAACTTGCTACAGCTTCTCCATCAGCACCTGCTGCTTCACCTGCACTTTTCAATTATGGACACAGCTTCTTTCCTTAAACCTCATGAACCAGCCTCTGCTTGTTGTACTTCTACAGCCTCTTCCCCTCTCTCAGCCTTCACAGAATTGAAGAGAGTCAGGGCCTTGCTCTGGGTTAGGCTTTGGCTTAAGGGACTTTTGTGACTGCTTGGATCTCCTCTCAGACCACCAAAACTTCCTCCGTATCAGCAATAAGGCTGTTTTGCTCCCTTATCATTCATATGCTCACTGGAGTAGCACTTGTATGTGAGGACCCTTGAATATGTTGTTCTTACTCTCAACCTAAGACAAGTTCTGCCGAGCAGCATTCCAGCTGTAGACCCAGTGTGGGACGAGAGGGTCAAAGTCCATGTGCAGCGCAGGACAACAGTCCCAAGAGCGGAGTGTTCTCACTGGGAGGTAGGAGATCAGCGCTGAGGTCCTGCACAGCCTCCCTTGCACCTGATGTGCTTATGTGTGGGGAAACAAGCCCTTCCAGCCGCCCCAGGGGCACATGGCACAGCTCTGGCCTTACAGAGGGACAGTAATGGGGTTGAAAAAGGACAGTCTTTGTCCACAAAATGGCTCTAGTGCCATTTGCGATCATGTCCCCTCACCAGAGTGCCATGTGCTGCATATCTCTTCAGTTTGGTAAGAGTTAATGTTGATTGAATGTAAACAGCTCTAAAACTTGAAATGAAGACGCTCAGGGCCTATTGTTTCAGTACTGTGATCTTGAAGGTAAATTGTTTCTCTTCTCCAATTACACACCTACACCTTAACAGTAGATGAATTCTCAAAGGGTGGAGGCACCTGAGCCATTATTTAGCCACTCATTCCGCATGTCCCCAAGAGAACAAAAGATTCAAAGAGGGGCCTGTCAGTCAAGCCCAGATTTCCCTTACAAGTGCTGCCAACTACCTGTGCAGGCTCTGCCCGCAGCCCCCAGGCGGCCTAGACCATGCTAGTCTAGAGTGCTCCACTTCTAGTTCAAGTTCTCTTGCTGTTTCCACCACTTCTGCAGTTCCTCCCACCGCCAGCTGTAGCCCTATGAAATGTATTCCTTAAATAATAAGACTGTAAAGTTGAAATGACTCCATGATCCCTGGGCTGCAGTCTGGATGTTGTGTTAGCAGACCCCAAAACAGCGTTAATCTCTGTGCATCCCCATCGAGGATGCTCTGGGGTGCTCTGGGGTGACCAAGTGCACTGTCAGTGAGCAGTAAATCTTTTGAAAGGAATCTTTTTCTGAGCAGTAGGTCTCAACAGTGGGTTTTAAATATTCAGTAAACCATGTTGTGAAAAGATATGCTGTCACCCAGGCTTTGTTGTTCCACTTATAAAAACATAGGCAGAGGAGATTGAACATAATTCTTAAGGGCCCTAGGATTTTTGCAATTGTAAATGAACATTGACTTCAACTTAGCATCACCAACTGCATTAGCCCCTCGAAGCTCTGAAGCCAGGCATTGACTTATTCTCTGTAGCTGCAAAAGTCCTAGATGGCACCTTCTTCCAATATAAAGTTGTTTGATCTACACTGAAAATTTGTTGTTGAGGGTAGCCTCCTTCATTAACTCTCTTAGCTAGTTATTACTTCATTAACTAGATCTTCTTAGTTATGTAGATCTAAATAACTTACCTACTTATCTAGTTTACTGGGTAACTTGCTACAGCTTCTCCATCAGCACCTGCTGCTTCACCTGCACTTTTCAATTATGGACACAGCTTCTTTCCTTAAACCTCATGAACCAGCCTCTGCTTGTTGTACTTCTACAGCCTCTTCCCCTCTCTCAGCCTTCACAGAATTGAAGAGAGTCAGGGCCTTGCTCTGGGTTAGGCTTTGGCTTAAGGGACTTTTGTGACTGCTTGGATCTCCTCTCAGACCACCAAAACTTCCTCCGTATCAGCAATAAGGCTGTTTTGCTCCCTTATCATTCATATGCTCACTGGAGTAGCACTTGTATGTGAGGACCCTTGAATATGTTGTTCTTACTCTCAACCTAAGACAAGTTCTGCCGAGCAGCATTCCAGCTGTAGACCCAGTGTGGGACGAGAGGGTCAAAGTCCATGTGCAGCGCAGGACAACAGTCCCAAGAGCGGAGTGTTCTCACTGGGAGGTAGGAGATCAGCGCTGAGGTCCTGCACAGCCTCCCTTGCACCTGATGTGCTTATGTGTGGGGAAACAAGCCCTTCCAGCCGCCCCAGGGGCACATGGCACAGCTCTGGCCTTACAGAGGGACAGTAATGGGGTTGAAAAAGGACAGTCTTTGTCCACAAAATGGCTCTAGTGCCATTTGCGATCATGTCCCCTCACCAGAGTGCCATGTGCTGCATATCTCTTCAGTTTGGTAAGAGTTAATGTTGATTGAATGTAAACAGCTCTAAAACTTGAAATGAAGACGCTCAGGGCCTATTGTTTCAGTACTGTGATCTTGAAGGTAAATTGTTTCTCTTCTCCAATTACACACCTACACCTTAACGGTAGATGAATTCTCAAAGGGTGGAGGCACCTGAGCCATTATTTAGCCACTCATTCCGCATGTCCCCAAGAGAACAAAAGATTCAAAGAGGGGCCTGTCAGTCAAGCCCAGATTTCCCTTACAAGTGCTGCCAACTACCTGTGCAGGCTCTGCCCGCAGCCCCCAGGCGGCCTAGACCATGCTAGTCTAGAGGCAGAGGACCCAGGGGCCCCGCCTCTGCCGGGGGAGAGCCGGTCCCGGTGTGTCAGCTTAAGTTGGCGCTGGGTGGGTGGCTCTCTCTGCCCTGCTGCCATCAGGACAGCCTTGGCCAGACTATGGCTTTTACTTCCATCCCGGGACAGGAGGAACGTCTCTGATCTCAACCCAAAACCTTTGCCAGTTGCTGTTCATGGTGGCCAACGTCATTAGCTAAAAAACAAAATGCTATTTGATTGCTTAAAAAAAAGGGAATGTAACTAGTGTGAAACAGTTTCATCTCTATGCTTTTGGCCACACGCTGTGCGGTGTCCATTCCTGGTTTTCATGTGTGTACAGCCCACCAGTCGCCATCACTGCCCCTCAGTACAGGGGACCCCAAGGGCATCACCAGGACAAGCAGCCACAGGTAGAGGTGAGATGCCATACACTAGGCGTGGTTACGCTGTCCTTCAGCTCGTATGGTCCACTGCAGATCCGGGGACTTACGGGAGCCAGTCCTGTGTGCTCCACACCCGTGCGCTCCACCTCGCCGCATGGCGTCCCCATGTGAGGACAGAGACACTGTCCTTATCCCACTGCAGGCGAGGGTGAAGCTGACGGGCAGTCTGCCTACACCCCACTTGCTGGCTGCTGTGCAGGTTTAGCTTATTGCCCAGGAAACCAGCTCTCAGCTTCAGGGAGGAAGGGGGTTGGCCCTGCACCCTGGGCCGAGCGCATGGGTGAGGGTCCTGGATCTCCCTAGCACACCCTCACTCCCAGGCCTCACTCCCTTCTCTCACCCACCTGTGCTTCTGACCACCCCACAGGCCCCTCCCGAGATGCCAGGGCACAAATGTCCCAGGAGCTCAGAAGGCTTTGTCCTGGTTTCCAAGGAAGATGAGACGGGCAGTGCCAGGGGGCCCCTCCCGGGTCAGGCCCAGCTGCTCCGCACCTTCAGAAGCACATCTGGGAAGAGCGAGACCCCTGCCCCCTCCCCACTGGTGTTCTCCGACCCGCTGACGGGCCCGGCCTCGGCGTCCTCCAGCAACGCCAGCTCCAGCCCCGACGATGACAGCAGCCACAGCAGGGACTCCGGCTTCACCATTGTGAGCCCCCTGGACATCTGACCACAACGCCCAGCCTGCCCCGGGCTGAGGCTGCCCTGTGCAGACCCTCCTGAAACCAACACTTTGTTCCCAGAATGCAGACAACCCTGGCATGGCCCATCAGACCCAGTCAGAAGCAGATAGGGCCACAGAGCACACAGGCTGATGTCCACAAGCCCCACTCGGCAGAGCTGGGGTGCACAGCCAGTCTCACACCCACCGTCACAGTCACCCCCCGAGCCATCAGAGTCACTCCTCTGTCCTTTCCTCCCCAGCTGAGTGTGGCCATCCCATGGAGCGTACGGAGAAGAAGGAAGAAGAGTTGGTTTCAAATCTTCCCTCCCCTCAGAGCATCAGGCACAGGAAAACTGATATCAAAACACTTTCTGGAAATCTGTTTCTCAGCCTATTTCATTCCTCTCAGAAAGCCATACAGCCAAATGCAACAGAACAACCTGGAAAAACCCACTATGGGCCTCTCCAGAACTTAAAATGATCTTTAGAAGTGGGGTCTAAGCTTAGGTTTCATATTTAGGTGTGATGTGGTTTGACTGTTTCCATTTGTTAAAGAACATGCTTCCAAGTCCCTGGCTGAATCACTCTGGCCTTCGCTGGCCCCTTAAACAATTGTTTTTCACCTTGTAGCATCTTTCACAGCCAGGAAACAAGGTCACTTTAAGCAGACCTTTGCTGCACTGGTTTTAATAGTTTTAAGACTTATTACTTCTTAAATTAGCAAATGTGACCCTGATTTTACAGGAGAAACATTTTTTAAACAGTTGATTCTCTAGCAAAGTTTCTGTAGTTTGGGGGCTGTACTCACCTGTCAACAGAAGAGTAAAGGGAAAACCCCAGCTTCTTCCCTTCTAGAGTCAGGGCTCCCAGTGACTTTAAGGTAACAGTAACAGGGATTAGACCTGGCGTCCCTTCTCTGGGAGCAGGGCTTCCTGAAGAACATTCCAGATGCCAGGAGGATGTGGGATTTCTGCACAGCCTTCCCTTGCTGGGAATCGCAGGAACTGGGATGTGGGCTCAACTGTGCACCACGTCTGAGGCACCGCTGCCAGAGCGAGACCAGACCTGCCACGCCACTGCCTTCCTGGAACAGAGGCCTCCCCTTGGCAGTTGTCAGCATAGGGAACCCCGATGGCACAAAGCCTCACATGAGTGACTTCTCTCCTTAAGGACGAGGGCCCTGAAAAGGACACGTGTCTCTCCTGAGCAGGAGTCCCAGTAGGACAGCCACTGTGCACATTTCGCCTCCATCCGAGGTGAGCAGCCCTTGCCCTGGGGCAGCTGGTCCTTTGGGCTCTCCTCCGAGGATGGCAAGGCCCCTAGGCAGTGGAAGCTTCCATGGCCACAGCAAAAAGCTAAGTGTGTGAGAATAGACATCTTTCCATGCCTCCCACTGATAACCGCGTATTTCTCTAGACAAATGTGGTAATGACGATTTCCCACTTGTTCTCCAAGAAAACAGAGATGACTCAAGCCAGCTACTGCAGAGAGAGGTCCAATTAGCTCTGCAGTCAGTTCTGAGCCCCTAGCAGGGAAATCTAACACATCCACGTGTAAGGTGAGCACTAACTCTGGTTTAGCTCGGATGACAGGGCCGTTTGGCCTTCCACGGTGGCTCGCTGCGCACCAACCTGCCCTCTGGCCCCTGACTCTCAGTGCTCTGCCCAGCACCTGCAGGGAGAACTCCCTGAGTAAGTAGCTGCCAAGCGCATGTCCCCTTGACCACACCTTACGAGCACCCCTGGCCCTCACATGTGAGGGGCCCGCAGGCCCGCAGGTTGCATTCCTTTGTCTAAAGGGCCTGGCTTTGGACAGTGTTGGCTATGGCAGTGCTAAAAAAGTATGGAGCCACCCTCGCTGGGCTCCAGCAGAGGCTGGAAGGGCCCGGGGGCTGTCTGTCCCCGGGCAGCTGGGCTACTTCCTTCTGCTCGGCATTTCCTGTGCACGGAGCCAGAATCACAGGAGCCCAGCCCCTGACCACATGGGAGCCACCAGACCCCCACCACCCCCTCAAGGCTTAGCTCGTCCCCTCCGGTTGGCCTCACTGACCTGCCAATGCCTGGAGTGGCCCCGCATCCCGGGCTGCCGCGCCAGAGCCACATGAGAACCAGTGGGTCAGCACCGGGTGCTGCCGCACAAGCCAACAGGCTGCCCGCTGCCCAGAGGAGAAACACATGGGTGAACAAGCCGCAGTGCCACACTCAGTCCTCAGAATCACAGGGTTTGGGAGCTGTCTTACCTTTTGAAGTGACTATTTTTTATTCTTCATAGCTGAATATTGTTTGCATTTTTATTAGCTACAGAGTTATCAAAGCATATATGTTCCTCCTTTTTATTATCTTATCAGGTACTTATGTTTAATTGCACATATTTTAAAATCCTGAGTATATGAAACCTTTTGTTTTTTTTAACAAATGTAGTCAGTTGAACCCTCTTGCATTTTGATTATTAGCAGTTATATATTTTTTATACACAAAAAGCTTAGATTAATTCTGTCATCTACTTTTTTATACACATGCTGTGTTTCATGCATTCCTCTCTGATCTGTCTGAAAATCTGAGTTGCATTTATTTCGGTCCCTTATGTAAGAGAGTCACAGATTAGAGAAAAACAGTCTTTATGAGTGTGCCTTACCTTGTGCATATGCCATCGGGTCTTAGAATACTTCAGCATTTAATTATACTGGTTGATTCTTCCAAAGATGACCTGCTAGTGTTCACTGCTAACTGCAGTGTAAGAAATAATATTACTGCAGAGTGAATGTGACTGAAACCAAGAGCTCCCTGTGATCTGCCTTCTCTGCATCAACGGAGCTGAATCTCGTGCATCAAACCTTCAGGATTTGATTACCACCATTAATGAAAACCACTCCTCACCTTTGTCAGAGATGACAGATATAAACTCTGTGATGTGTTGTATCCTAATGATCACCTGCCAGAGAAGGCTCACATGTATTATTTTTGTTTTCACTTTATTGTTTCTTTAAGAAGCTGCCCCCAGGGATCATTAGAACAAGAGAGTGTGGAGGCCCCAGCCGACGCCCTGAGCAGCTGTCCTGTGGAGCCGGGCCACCCCATGCCTGCACCCCTGCTTGCCCCGGCGGGTGCAGGGACTTAGGGAATCTGTGGGATGGGGAGGGACCCAGACAGCACCTGACAAACAGGCTTCCTTCTGGCAGCCCAAAACCGCTTCCTCTGCATTACGGTCAAAAGCTCCCTTTTTATAGTGTTAAAAAAAACGCAAAGTTGCTGTAAACAGGTTTTAAACCACTTTGATGTGAAAGTTGTCATAATACTCTTTCTCACGATGGCACAATTCATTTGATTTATGGAATACTGAGTTGTGCCATTTATATCCTGTTGCTTTTTCTCATTCAGCCTTATACTGTAACTCATGTTGATTTAAGAAATGACTTACCCTTTTGGCAGAGTGATCCCATTCAATACAGTTATAATAAAAGACTAATGTGAAACTGAAAATGCAGCTTGGCTTGTTCCAGGCTGGGGTCAGGGTGCAAGGAACCAACCAGGCCCGGCCACAGCAGAGCCGGCCTCTCCAGTGCAGCCGCAGCTGGCCGGCCGGAACTCCCCTGACTGTGCCCCTTCCTCCCCTTCGGGCAGATTGCCCCACCTCTGGGGCCTCAGTTGCCTGATCTTTAGCCTGAGGCCAGCAGCCACCTGCCTGTCAGGTGGTGGGAACTAAACAGGATACAAGCAGGAGAGCATACCCCCAGCAGGCCGAGCAGGGCCTGACGCATGGTGAAGCGGGAGCACTCTGAGGTGGAGCTTGATTCCGAGGGTCACGTAGTCCCACCTTCCTCTGACAGGGAGGACCCCAGAGGCTCCCTGGAGGGCTGGCCAAGGCTCCCGGGCCGCCCTGCTGGGCCCCAGCGTCTTGCCGCCGCCTCCACCACCTCCCCTCAGCACTCCCCGCTCTAGGGGCCTTGCACAGCCGGCTAACGGGTTCAGTGAGGCGACCACAGGCAGGAGGTGGGACGGACACTCCACGTCCTGAGCGACGGACTAGGAAGGTAGGGGGATCATCACAGCTTAGAGCCATGCAGCCAGAGGCACCAGGGACAGGGTTTGTGCCTGGGCCCCATCAGAGCCTCACTGACCCAGGCCCAGGCGACAAGGGCCTCCCCTCCTGAGGGTCACAACCCCTCCCCCAGGCCTTTGCCAACCAGAGGTTCTGCCACAGGAGGGCCCGCCACGTGCCCAGACAGCCCGTGCTGGTGATAGCGACCCTGCTTCCCCCGACCCAGGGCCGCCCACCCTGGCTGCCGGCAGCAGAGGCCCACGCCCTGCCTGCGGCCCTCTGGAAGGCCTCTCCAGATGTCCTTCCCTCCCTACATCTGTACCTGAGAGCTGCCCTCCCGCCCCGGGAGCCACCAGCCAGGAGTGCGAGGGAGTCACTGGGGCGGCTCCCCCGCAGGGTCCAGGCAGCTACCCGCTGCCTCCCCGCCCTGCCTGGGCTGCCTCCCACCTGAACAAGCCCCTGCGAATCCTCCCTGCCAGCTCCTGACGTGCCATCCTTCCAAGGCCCTTTCCTCAGGCAGAGGCCATGTCCTGGCCCACCTCAGCCGCAGGCCGGGTGACGGGGAGCGGGAGGGGCTGCAGGTTGTCAGGAGGGTTCTGAGTCCTCCCGGACAAGGGCTGGACAGAACGCCCCACGCTCAGCGGAGGACGGTTCCACAGCCCCACTGCAGGCAGGGCAGACCTCCGGGGGTTCTCACCGTGGACCCACCAAGGTGCCCGCCCCTCCCACAAGGGTTCCCCACAATGGTGATGCCTGCAGGGGAGCTGCTGACAGCTCCACCTCCACTTTGTCATCGCAAATACTATGCGATCCCAGAGGAGGGCCTGGGAGGCCCCAGAAGGCACAGAGGTGAGACTGGCAAGAGGCCACACCAGTCGGCCTTCCTCCCCTCTGCCGTGGGTGAGGAGACCCTCCAGCCATAGAGGGGACTGGCCCCTCGGGACCTGTGCTCTGCCCACCTGTCCCACAGGGCTGGCCTGCTGGCCACTGCCCTGGCACAGAGCCTCAGGCACTGTGTCTCTGCCCCTGGGTTCCCTGGGAACCGTGCCCCCTGGGTTCTAGCCAGCGAGTGCCAGCCCCAGCGGCTGACTGCTGTGGGGAGCTCCCACCAGGCCTCCCTTGCCCATGGAACTGCTTTCTAGAGGCCCACTGTCATGTCACTCTGCCCACGTGCCACTTACTATGGCTGCATAGCAAATGACTGAAAGCGACCATTGAATACACTCCTGGGTGGTGTAGGTCAGAAATGCAGACAGAACATAGTGGGGCTGGCTTCTTATGGTGCCTCTGGTGTCTGGGGCCCCAGATGGAAAACTCGAAGGCTGGGAGTGGAAACCCTCCGAAGGTAGCCACTTAGATACCTGATGTTCGCTGCCAAGTCCAGAGCTGAAACACTTACAGGCGGCCCCTTCATGTTGGCCTGGGCTTCCTGGCCGCATTGCTCCCAGCTCCTGAGGGGACAGGCAGTGCTCTAGAAGCACACTGAGACTGGAAGTGTTGCCCTGGCCACTTGTGGAGGACACGACGCCGTGCCCGTTGCGAGGAGGCTCCTTCAGGATGGCAGCACGAAGCCTCAGCTGAGTGCCGCAGACCAAGACTGGTCCAGCCACACTGGAGGGCATGGGGGCCGCCCACACCTCTAGTGTTGGCAGCTCTCCCTCCTCCCTCCAGGAAGCCTGTGACAGCTTTAAAGCATGCCCCCAACACTTGTGGACACTCCTCTCAAAAGCCCCTTGATCTGGGTTCTGTGACTTTCTAACCAGTAGAATATGGAAGCTGTGAGGCAGTTGGTGTCTGGGCCCAGACCTCCAGTGGACAGGCAGCTTCCAGCCCCCGTCTCTTGGTGCACTTCCTCCCGGAGCTCCATCTCCGTGGAGAGGCCTGTGCACACCAGCAGCCAGTGCCAGCGTGGAGGGAGCCGTCTCGTGAGTGGGTCCTTTGGCCCCAGCTGACACCGTGTGCAAAAGAGACTGGGGGTTACTTGCTGAGACCGTCCCCGTCACAGAATCCTGGGCAAACAAAATGACTGTTGTTTTAAGGCAGTAAGTTTGGGGTGGGTGGGGATGCAGCAAGGGATTACTTCCCCCATTGCCTTAACTAGCAGGGCACATCCCTATCAACTCCCTAGTCTTGGGACCATAAATCTTACCCAGCCCTCAAGTCCAGAATTTGCATTTCCCTTCTTGAGAAGAGGGCCTGAGCTTTAGCTATTCATTCACCCCTCCTTACTGAGCACCAGTGTTCTGGAGGCCGGGCCGTGTTCTGGAGGCCGGGCCGTGCAGTGCCCAGGACAGGTCAGGGTCCTGTCCGCAGGGAGCTGGCAGTCCAGCAGGGGGATGGGCGATGCCTTCCTATGCAGTGCACAGCCTTTGTAGTGAGAAGGAGGTCATCCCGGATGCGAGTGATGGTGCAGAGACCCTCTGGGGAGGCAGTTTCCTGTCCCCCTGAGCAGTACACAGTGACCCCTTGAGAGCAGGTGGTGGGGAGGGCTCAAGCCTTAGCTCACACGGCTCACTGCCTGCAGCCCTGCCCCTCAGGGCTGTTCCCTGCCGCCCGCAGCTGACCAGCAGGATCTGAGGTGGCCTCAAGCCCCCTGGGTGTCCCGTCGCTGTTCTGGGCCCTGGACTGCGCAAGGCCCAGACTCACAGCGCTGAGACGCGGAGGCACCCCGTGTGCATGTGCGTACGTGCTCACGTCACCAGGGCTCTGCCGGCCGCAGGGCTGGGCTGGGTTTCTCAGAATCCTGTGCCTCAAAGAAACTCAGGCTTTCAGAGAAAGGCTGTTGGCGTGCCGCAGAGACGCTAACCACAGAGCCCGAGCAGGGCAGGTGAGCGGCCTCTCAGCAGGGCCAGGCAGAGTTCACCCTTCGGGTCCCCGGGCATGGGCGGAGGACCCCTGCAGCAGGGACACGTGTCAGAGTCCCGCCTGCCCCGGGGGCGGGAGCAGGAGCGCAGGCCCGAGGTCAGCAGTCTCCCGGCTCTGCTCTGGCCACGCCGCCCCTGCTGCCCACGCCCAGGCCTCTGCCGTCCTTCTTGGACCTGGTTTGGGCCCAGTCATGAGACACTGCGGAGCCCTCACCATCTCTGGCACGGGTTTCACCATCTGAAAAATAAAGGGGTTACATTTGATCGTGGCTTTTTTCAAACCTGTTTGCCCAGAACCCACATAAAAAAATACGTTTCAGAATGTACTGCACAGGGTAACATGAGGCGCTATAAGCACAGGTCCCACAAGAGAAACCCATTTCTCACTCATATAATTGCTATGCAAGGTTTCCTGGCTCGTGGGTGGCTTTCCTCCATGTAGTGATTCAGGGACCAGCCACCATGACCAAGAAGTAAAACATCACTTTTAATCACATTCCACTGGCCGGAGCAAGTCACTCAGGGACCCCTGGAGGTGAGGGGCTGGGAATGGGTATTCCTGGCAGGCCAGCCCCTCCACAGGGACCCATCTGTTCTGTGGCAGGGGAGCCAGATCCAGCAGCTGCCTGTGCCACACCCTGGGCATGCGTGTGCATGTGCGCGTACACACACACACACACACACACACACACACACACACACACACACACACCTGAAGTGGAAGGTTCACAAAGCACACTTGCTCATATTGTGTGTGATGCCATCTGAATTTGATACCTTCAACCGTAATGTATCTTATTAGCGCTGACCTATTAAATTGATCTCATGACCAACGGTTGAGCCCACAGTTAAAAACTCAGATGATTCCTTAAAGAAATGACCACAATATTACCCAACGCTGTAGAGTTCAATAGCCACATGTCTTGACAGACTTTTTCAGCCAAGAAGAGAGTTGCTTGAGTCCATGGATGTTGCTGAGAGGAAGATACAATGTGGGAAAAGTGGCTTTTAACCCACAGTGAATTAGCATGTCGTCTTAGTCTATCCAAACTGAGGCCTAGTTAGGTGTCCAGGGCAGATGGTGCCCCTGGGGGCCCAGGAGGGTGGTTTGTGAAGCAAATCACAGACCAGGTTTGCAGGAGGGACAAGCTGGCTCCACACCTCCTTCTGAGAGGGGTTCAGCAAGTGCTTTTCCCAGAATGCAATTGACTTTGGACAAAATTCCAGTTGGATGATAACAGTGATTCACCAGAAGGTTGGAGAGGAACGGGCATCTCAGCACCTTTCCTGGGATGTCCTGATGTCCCCAGAGATCAGGGCTTCTCTCCTGGCCTGCCCCCACTCCAGGAATGCCCTGGTCTTCCCCACCTCGTTGTGATGTCCCTTGAGCTCTGACAGATCTGCAAATCACCTTCTGAACCTGGTGCTCTTTTCTCAGAGACACCTGGGAAGGAGCCCCATGACTGTCTGGGACTCTGTCACTTCAGGACACTGGTCATTTTCTTTGAACAGACAAATCAGACTTCAATGAGTGACCTAGATTTTCCTGTGCAGATTTGATTTCAACATTTCCAACT